GCAGGAAGAGGAGCGGGAACGCCGTTAACGCTCCCCACAGCACGGCGGCGCCGGCCGCCTCCCCGCGCGCTGGGTGCCGGCGCAGCCGTTCTGCGTCACCACGCTCCCCGGCGCGCCGCGGTGACGACACCCCCTGCGGCCACCGCGCCTCGCGGAGCGGCGCGTGCCGCTGTTGCCATGGTGACGGGCTCGGGGCGGTTCCCTCCCAACATGGCGGGCCGAGGCGCGTCGGCCCCTTCCCGAGAATCCATGTGGGGGGCTCCGGGAGCTTCGTTGGCGGACGTATCTGGAGAGCTGTTAAAAATTAACGGTGTCGCAAAACAAAGGGAACCGCGCTCAGACAAGCCCACAGCAGCTCGGGCTTTGGCGGTGGTGAAGCCGAAGCCATCATTTGCTCAGATTGTCACCGAAATCCGGGATAAAAATAACTTATCGACACCAATTTGATGCAGATCAGCAGACACTTCTTTATTGATGGCCGGACGTGCAGGGGAGTGCTCTCACCAACAACACGTGCCGAGCACTAGAATCATACACTTTATATAGAACTTACTCATACATATTCATCAAGTCTTCATACATAAACACACAACTTCCAAGAATCATTAACATATTCTCCTCCTATTTCCGAATCTGCACAGTAAAGGTTAGAAATGTCTAGAAATGGGTCTGGGGTGTAATGTGAGTAGGTGGTCCATGAGTCGGTGGTCGCGCTCTCCCCATGCTGGAATTACCTTTTGCTTAAGGACACGGTTTTCTTGGCAGGTAACTGCAAGCTGTTACGGTCACTGCCCTCAGTTCCCATTAATCCTGGACCTTGACAACTACTTACATTTTTCTAGTCCTATGTATGTATTATAAATCAGTTTACAAATCACCTCGTGTTTTGTTACCTAGGTTCTAACCGTTCCCATTAAACAATTATGACCAATCCCTTCAGCCTTGGTACGGGGCTGTACAGGGAATTTTAGAGTAGCAGTCGGTTGCTAGATTCAAAATACAATAAATGATTTTCACCAAAATATCTCTTAATTCTATACTTATATTAAATTCAAACACAATTTCAGTTGTTAATAGAATCAGTAACAAGATAACTGATGTTAGGAGAGAGCATCTTGTGGGCAAAGTAAAAGCAGTGTGGACAAAAGCAAACCTCATTGATGATACGTATTTCCTGACTCTTCAAAAGGGCTGTTTTCATCCAAACTATGGATGAAATAAAAACGGTGTATTAGGAGAACATCACAATACTCTGGAGGAAAAGTAGATTTTTTTTAAACTAAAAGTTTATTAAATGGCTAGAAAACTACATCAGAAAATGAGGCAGCTGTGACATGAGGCTCTTAGAAATGAGACCTGCATACATCAGTTGAGCTATAGGAAACATTTCAGGTTAAGAGAATTCATAAGAGAAGCTGAAGTCGCCAGGAGAAACAGATGGTTATAGAGGTAAGTATAATCAGTTTGCAGTGTATAAGGAAAGTCACAGAAATCCTTGTGATAGTAATATCACACTGGTATATACACAGAATTAAAACACTAATAATGTAGAAGAGTGTTTGAGACGTGCTTACGATTCATATTTAGAAGGAAACAAGGTGATATGTTTAATTGCAAAGCCCCAGTAATTTCTGTGCAGAAAAACTATCTGCTGCTTATTTTTTAAAAACTGGGGATTTTGAGGAAATTCCATAAAACCAGAGGAATGCTTATGTTGTGCCAGTACTCAGGGAATTCTAGTCAGAGGTCTAGAAAAGAATTATTAATTTTATAAAATACCAAAGCCTGCTATATAGTAAACATGACTACAGAAAATAATCCTGTTCAGACAAGTTTGGTTTTGTTTGTGACGAGATTTACAGGTTTTGTCAGAAAAGATCAGTCTGGGTAAAATGTAGATTTTCTTGATTGTTTTGATTTTTTGGGGGGCCGAGGAGATGCAAGAATAGTTGAGTGAAATGGTCTAGTTATATTTGTGTAGGAGGTAAAACAAAATGATGTGGCCTCATACTCCAGTGCTGTCATTAATACTGAAACAAAGTGTGAGAAGCTGTTAGAGAGAACAACAGAGGAATTCCTTTTGTGACATCAGCTCTGACCCTACGAGGTGACTTTATTCAGCCAGTTTAATAGGATTATTTATGAGTGTAAAATTATTCAATATTTACATACATGTTTACAGGATCAGAATTAAAAATAGTACATTATTTCTTGGTATTGACATGTGCTTCTACTCCAATCTGCTTTTCCCAAACTGAATCTCAAAACTGCTTTTTGATCTTGGTGGTGAGTAGGAGGAGGGAAGGCAGGAACTCCAGTGGCAGGAGAGTAATCCAGTTCTGTCTGCTGAAAAGACAAATTAACAGCTTTTCAGACACCTCCATTTGAAATTCTGCCAGGCGATTAATTTACTTATTCCTTTCCTTTTTTATATTGTGTATAATTTTTTTAAAAAAACAGAAGTCCATCATTTTGAATGCAGCAAGCTGCTAACAGCTGACAAGGAGAGTTCTTCGACACGTACAAAAGTGTGATCGAATAGAACGGTATGAACTGTATTTGCTGTGGTGCGTTCTGGGCGGGATGCTGGCCATGTTTTAAGTGCATTTGCAGATGGAGACTCTGGCTATGAGTGAACACTTTTCCTTGAAGGGTCGGTCCCTCCTCCAGGTGGGGATAAAGAGCTATTTTAGCTCCAGAAGACTCTATTAGGACTTAATGGCAAAGCTTCTGCGGTGTGTTTATTGCTATAAAAGTTATGCGTATGATTGCCAGAAGTTAAGGGAACAGTAGATCTGATGTATTTTCAGTAGGTGATAGAACTGGAGAAATAAACCAACCATAAATAAATGATTGGGTGAATAAGTGGAAACAGAACAATGGAGGTGTTTGGTAGGGATGGCTCAGTAACACTTGTGCAAGTTAATAAAATAGCTGCATGGAAGAAATGTATCAAATTATTTTAAGAACTATGGGAACTGCTGAGGAGAATTGTGGAATGACAGTCGATATATATTTATAGGTCTGTTCTGGAGCCTACTGAAATCAATGGTATAGCTCCATTATCACTCTTACATATAGCATTTTCAAATGTATATATCAGGATTGTATATGTATTTTTTCCCATTCTGCAGATTAAGAGACAGAGGCCAAGAAGAGTTGCGTCACCTGCTGACATGCCACTTACCTAGGTTTCCTTTTTTCCTTTCTTCCAACCTATAGCTCTCTTGAAGGCATGGCAACAAGAAGGGCTTTTCTGTTTTGTTGATATGTTTTTCCTGAGAGGAATATTCCTGAGCTAGTTGGAAGCTGAGCTGTTTTCTAAAATTATGAATTCCATTCAGTAATCTGCTTTGGAGCTTGCTCTATGTTTTTATCATTCATTGTGTGAGAGGCTTCTGTTAGGCAAAGAAGTACAGAGCTGAAGGGACTAACTTCAGCCATGCTAACATTCTAGGTAGCTTCAAAAGTAAACCAGCGTTTTGTTACCTTGCTGTAATCACTACAGCATTACAGTTTCAGTTAAACTCGACAGAGGTAATTAAGTTCATATAATTGACATAAAAAATGAATGACTCAGCAGAGCACAAGAAATTTGTGCTTACTTGAGTGGGCTAATACAACACTACCAGAAAATCCATTAGGAAAAGAGACTCTAAATCCTCTGATGGCAGCTTGCACCATTACTGATAATCAGGTTAAACATTTGGGATATGTAAGAAAACAGACTTGTGTGGTTCTGGTGCTCGCAATACTGTCTCTGGAGCTCATACAACCTTCTTTTCTGAAAGCAGTACTAAAAACCTTCAAATTAAATCATATGGTGCCTCCACTGCATTTTACAGACTTCAGTGGGAAGTTTGGGTACAAGAGTACTACATCAACACTTTAGTAAGTGGCTTACCTACTTCAAAGTGAAGCAGTGTTTGTAGTGAAAGATGCAATTTTTTTATAGCCAATGATATCAGAGGGACAAACAGACAAACTTTTGGGCGCTCTAGCTTCTCCTGCAGTCTGATTCAGATGCAGCAATCCACAAGTCCAAGATGGAAACAGGTTACTGTAATTTTAACCTATTTTAATCAATGAATCTGAGAGAAAAAGATAAATTAGAAATAATCTAATTTAAAGAAACAGCATAGGTTTCTGATAAATTAGTCAGACCGTATTGCTTGTGCAGGATTAATTTATCTTCCTGTAAGAATAGGTTAGAGTGTCATAATAGTGAAGAACCGTCAAATGTGCTCTTTTGGCTGGAGAATTGTTTGGGTGCTCATATGTCAGGGGTGGATGAAATGATTAGAAAACATACAGTCTGTTCAGCTGTGATAGGAGCAAAACCAGACTACCAGTTAATAGAATTCAGCTGGAACAGACCCTGGTGTCATATAGGTGAGGAGAAAAGGGGAATTTTCTGAATTGTGATAATGTATTTGGTCCAACTGAAGCAACTTCTCTTTCCAAAGCTGGTCAGCTCATGCAGACATTATGCTGTCCCTAACATGCAAAGACCTGCTAAGGCTGTAAGTCAAGGTTTCATATGGATAAAGATGAGATTTCCTTTGTAGTCCGTGAAAACATTAACCCATTCATTGTATGTAAGAGCTTCTCTTCTGAATGAAGCCTCAGCAGGCTCGCAGGATGTGTTTAGCCATTGCAGGGCAATGT